ACTGCACGGACTGGTAGAGCTCCATCCTGACTTCGCTGGAGACTTGACCACATCCACTCAAGTCGAAGACCAAGTCCTTGAGGTGAGCGGAACGCAAGGTGGAGCTGAGAGATCCAAAGTCATCCAGAAGGGATAGGTTCATGAACCTGCCAGGGTGGAGTCTCTTTGGCCAAACATTCACTTCTGATGATAACTTGAAGAAAAACGCTTTCCTAAATAAGGCATCTTGGTCGTTTTTCCCTTCTGTCTTTCTGTTTGAACCATGAGAATCTATGTCAAGGACATTTCACAATTCCGTGCACCAGAGCTCCAAAGAAAGGAGCTTCTCCATCTCCTTCAGAGCCACTCCAAGACCTGCAACGCTCCGAAGTGACGCGGAGCCTGTAAAGCGCAGCTTCACTTCAACCAAGGACCGCAAACATGGGCTGCTGCTGAAGGCGTCCAAGGTCTCAATGCCCGAAAAACCCAGATTCAATCGCAAGATTCGCAAGTCACCTGGCAAGTTGCTCATCAGAACCTGAAGCTCATCGTCCGAAAATCGTGGACAACCAGTGAATGACAGCTGCACAAGCGTTCTGCCCGGATCTGCACTCAAAGCTCTTGCCAGCGTTTCTGTATCTCGACCTTGCAAAATGAAGCCATACCAACTCGACAAGGCAAAGAGTGAAGCAAGAGCTTTGTCCACTTGCTGAAAATTAGGATGACCAATTGGACTGGACTGTGGATCTTGCAGCTCACTGGTTCCAATACGAGGAAACGCGATGCTGTTCAGTATGCGTGTTTTGTCGATCTGCTCAGTAGCTTTGGCTTCCTTGGCTCCAATCACTTCATGGCTGATCATGTCTCAAACAACATGATTTAATGATTGCTGGAAACAACCCAACACCTTCAAAAATACTACGGCCCACTTCACTGCCTTGTCGTCAACCGAGCTTCCTCGATCTTCACCTTCAAGCCCAGTTCCAAAAGATCTACCGGAAAATCTTTTTCCCTCACGGCCTTCCGATAAGCGCCCACAATGCAGGTCATACGGCTCTCCACTCCTGCTAGGCCGTCGGTCAGCACATGTGCCTGGCGTCTCATCGGCAACACGTGGTGAGCTTTGACGGAAAACGCTTTCAAACCAGCTGAAAAAGGTCTCGTTCGACGCATTTCATCTCCTCTTTTTTGGCTTGGTTTTACGCATGTACATCAAATAGACCCTTTGGTGTCCAAGTTTTCTTCTGTCGGAGTAAAACAAATCTGCAGGCGTTGGCGGCCAAATTTCTCCGGCCCGCGATGCAACAATTACTTAGGGCTTTCAAGTTTAAAAAGGGCACCTTCTGAAAGAATGGCACTCGAAATAACATCAAAAGGACATACTATGAGGGTGCTGCGATGTGATGACACCTGAGCAGCAGGCCATCAGTCGCCGAGTGGCTTTGCCATGTGCATCTGTTGCGCCGACATCCAGCAACAAGCGGCGTCTGGACCAACTGTTCTCTCTATGCTCGATGGCCTCACATGATGCCATGTGAGTTTGGAGTTGAGAGGAAGCAGCCTCCTTCATTCCCAGACTACTAACACTTGGGGGTCTGATTCTGTCTTAGGAAATCTCTTTGAGGCCTTGTCATACTCATGTGGTTTGGTTGTGTATTAGAGCTCTGTTTGAACATATGCAACACGACAACCATATTTTGTACGTGAAAAAATGAGGGCCTCCTTCTTTGTTGTAGAATTGGAACTTGCAACTTTTTTCCATACCCTGCTGACTGATCTGGCACTATTCTGCACTATAACCAAATGGCTTTCCTGAGGCCCTGGCAATGGACTCTTCGAAGCAGCACCAGATTCTTTGAAATGGTGTCCCAGCTGAGTCAAGCACTAAAAGCACTCCTTGACACATCTGCATGGCCCGGTAGAATGAGGTATTGCGGGGATTGCTCTTGATATCCTCCGCTACACAATGCTGATTGTTTGCGTAGGCACATACCCAGTAGGCAGTGCTAGTGGGCAGCTCACGGATCAAAGCATGTTGCTCCAAACAGGCTAAGAACTTGCAGACAGGCTCCTGACAAATCATCTTTCCCGAAAAGCTCTGTATTTTAGAGAGAATCTTTTACAAAGAACAAGAAAGACACATGAAAAAGAACAGCTTGAAACGAACGAGGCTCGATCCAAGCATGGGACACAAACCAGCTTGGTATCTGCACTTTGACTGCCATGATCTCCACCATGCTACATCCATGCTCGTGAAAGCCTTCAGTGGCTGGCTTGATGATCCAAGAATTCGCGTGGTACAAGTTGAAGCTACTCAAGTCCAATGAGCATCCGTCCTGATCGCCATATGTTTCGCACCAGCTATCGGCCATTCTCGAAATCAACATGACGATTCGTTGCAGCTGGTGCAACGTGATCCCTCGCTCTGCTGTATCTCGGATGTAGCAAGGCTCCTTTCGACAATGCGAGCGATTCGTTGTTCCGATGCGAGAGCAATCGATTGATTTTCTTAGAAAGGGGGTTGAGACATTGAGGTTTCAGTTCTTTTGGGAGCCATGACATCATGAGTGAGCCAAGCCCCCTCAAAGCAGACTTCTCATCACTTCGCATCAAGTCTCAACATCAATTAAGCCCATTGTTCTTCAGGTCTTCATGTGAGAAGACACGTCTCTTGCCTGACTAGGTTGCTACAAAGTAAGGCACCCCTTCCAACACCTGGGCCCTGCCGACCCTGCTCCTCCTGGCTGAGCTCCGAGTAGTTCGCCAGGACCAGCGGACCGAGGTGAACGAGGTCGTCGGGTTTCAGCTGATGACATCCACACGAGACCAGCTGATTGCCATGCCACAGCGAAGTGGGCCAAAGCTGCTGCGCCCTCCGAACGACGTCGCCAGCCGTTCCACCCGTGAAGTCAAAAGAGGCAAAGCCGGGAAGAGTCACGGAAATCGACATGAGAGGCAAATTTTTGGGACTTCGTGTGAAAATCTGCATACACAATGCAGAATAAGTTTTTTGAATGTCAGATGTTGATCAATAGCGGATTTGCCCGGACTTTTGTCCTGAGACCTATTCCCATGTGCAAGTCCTACTTGCAGCTTTCAGTGGAGGCTCAGAGCTTGTAAAGGACATGTGCCGTTGAAGGACTTGAAAACTGCAACGGAGAGTGCTTGGAGCCAGAAGCGGTCTTTGAAACGCTGATTCGACCGTCTCAAGACGGAAGAAACAAACAAGTCTACCCGGACAGCCTACGGTTTCTTTTGTAAAAGGAGCTCTCAGAATTTCAGCCTGAACAACCTTCCAAACAACTTCAGCTGAACTTCGAGGTTGTTGATAATTGTGGAGTTGCTCTGAACGACCACGTTGTGGCAATGTTGCAAGCAGATCT